CAGTGGGTTCATCCCGCGCGAATCTAGTGCCTGGAGCGCGTTCACCCACGGCAGTCCCCATTTGGGGCGTCCAAGAGCCACACCTGCTATATTCCGGAGGGCGGTCTGCTCTGGAAGCACGGGCTGTTGGACACTCAAACGCGCAAGCCGCCAGAGACATCCCCACAATCTGGGCGCGAATCGTGGACTCACGGCGGACCCCCCTCGGGGTGCCCAAATCCCACGCCTGTCATTAGCACCGTGACCAATCTGCTCTGGAAGCAGAGATGTTGGGCACCCAAACACGCAAACCGCCTGAGACATTCCCACAAGCTGGGCGCGAATCCTGACATGTCCGCACCCACGACGGCCCACCCTGGGGTGCCCAAGTGCAACGCCTGCCACGTGGCGGTGAGCAGTGGACCAAGTGAGCCTGAGCATTTTCAAAACTGATCACAAGGATGTACGATAAGGATGCAAGGGCCTTGGAAGGCCATGCCGACATTTTCCGAGCGGGGCGCCGCCAACGAAAGTGGTTAAGGATGGAGCGAACAGGCAAGGATGCAGAGGTGCCCTTGGGAAGGTTGCCCATCCTTGCTATCGGTTTCGACTGCATGAGTGCGTCTGAATACGACCGAGTATGATTGCGAGTCTGTCTGAATGAATCTGGGTGTGAGTGAGATTGGGTATCAGCACGTCTGAGTATGAGTCCGTATGAGCACGAATGGGTCTGAACGAGAGCGGGCCAGAGCATGCCTGGATCTAAATGCGAGCGCATGGGTCTGAGGAAGAGACGACGTGACCGTGAAGGCCCGTCCGAACGCCGACCTCGACCTCAGGCCAACGCATGAGCATCGGCTGAGGGAGAGTGGGCTCCTGCTGGGTGGCGCGTAGGTTCATGCTCGGCCCCCCGATGGGGCAGCGAAACCCTTCGGCCACTTCCGCCACCAGCAGAGCCCACCACATGGCGCCCGACGCAAACCAGAAGATATGGAGGCCATGCGGGGCAGCGGGAGACCTCACCGCCATCAGCACCTTCAATTGCGAAAGTGGGGCGAGGCGGGCGGGCAAGCACCAGAAGATGAGTGGAGCGACAGAGAACCCCCCTACCGCTCCATTGCCACCTCGGCCGCACCTCCGATGTCATAGGCACGCTTCAGGGACATCGGTGCATGCTGCGCGAAATCCTTCGCCTCGCGATGCACCTGAGAAGCAAAAACGACTGCTTGCAGACACTCCTCGCGCGCGATCTCCGACCCCGCCCGCCCGCAGTCACCACCCCACCCCCCGCCCGAGCGAAGCGAGAGGTGAGCCCGGAAAATGACGGCGCCGCCAGACGCGGCGCATGGCGAGATGGCGGCGGAGGCGCGGGCAGCGAAGGCAATGCGCAATTGCGCCCGGGGCCGCGCAGCCCCAGATGCAGGTGGCGGGAGGGGCGCCGACATGTGAGCGATGCGCAGTTGCCCGCGCACCGCAGTGTTTTGAAAATGCCCCGTTGCCACGCTGGCTTCGCGCGTGCCAGCCACCGACAGCCCGCCCCATGCGTCGGGATTCGCCGAGCCCCAAGACGTTTCCTCGCCCCTGCAGCGCGCGCACGCGCTGCAAGAAAGGTATCGCGCCAACCCTGTCCGTCGGCAAAGCGCGGCGGAGGCAAGCGCGCTCGCCCCGAGACATGGGAAATGGAGCACGCCATGTTCCAGCAGGCGGCCGAGCATTCGCCGACGCACAGGCGAACGACGGCGGCGTGGCCCCGAGCATGCTCTCTGAAGCTTCGCAAGGCAGGCTGCCAAACGTGATCCGTCGCCCAGCGAGATGCACGCCAACTGCTGGCCCAGCCGAGCAAAGTGACGGAGGACAGGGCAAAGGCCAAGTCAGCTTGCAAAGACTTCAAATCGGCGAGGCCGAGGTTATTCGGCGGCATTCTGAACTATCTGCGCAAGGCCTGACGTTCCATCTTCCGAATCTGGACAGGGAGAGGAAAGAGCTGAGCCAGGCAAGGGAGGGTGGAAAGGGCCCTCGACGCATACAGGATCGCAAAGACTCAAGGGGCAGCATCTGAAAGGGCAAGGTCAATCGCGCGGACCCACCACCACTCTGCAGCAGGGCCCCATATGATACCCCATGCGGCAGCGGGCGCCTTTCCAAACCCAAGGTAGGTGGTGTGAACCGCGATGCTGGAAGTGCTCCACTGCGGGGCCCACCGCTGCAGTTCGAGTCGGACCCCACCTCTGATTTCGCCCGTGCAATCAGCCCAGAGAGGGACCAGGACATAGTTCGCCCCTTTGAATCTGAGCAGAGCGTGAAGCTCGATGTCCTGACAAATTCTCGACACCCCACGAGACCCCGTAGGCGAGGCATCGCCATGCCAACGTCGCCCGCGCAACCCCCAAGAGAGCATTTGCGCTGCCTCGCCTGCGGAGTCTGAGCGGCCGCGCGCAGGAGGCGCAACACTGGGCCCATCGCTGAAGCCAAACGCGCCCCTGAAAGAGGACATCCCTGTCGAACGCCTGAGCGCACATGAAACTGGAAAACACTAACTGATTCTGAGTCCGAGCCACACCTCTCGGCTGGAAGTATATAGCACGAAACAAATTTAGGACCCCAGGTGGGGGCCGAACCTATTCAGGATCTCGAACAGCCATTGGCGGCCCAGACTCGGGCAGGCCGCCTCCGCGTCGCTGGCGGCGAACACTGGGAGGCCGAATCAACCTCGGGATCGATGCTGTCGCGACGGGCCGCGGCGTCCAGGTGGATCATGTTTGACGGGGAAGTCCCCCCTGGGATGAAACCCGGTTGGGCCTCGCGCGCCTTCTCCTGAGCGACCTTGCGATTCTGGGAATTGGCGGCGCTGGCCTGGATTTTTGCGACGGCATTTCGAAGGCTCAGGGGTCGGACCTCGCCGGGGATCCGAACGCAGCCCCGGGCATCTTCAGGCCCCGCTCCTCTGGGAAAAAAGCAAACGATCGATCGTTGAGGGACAGCATGACCCGCACATAGATGGCACAGAAGACGATATAAAACTGTTAGTTGCTGGGGCGGAGCTTGCCAGGCAGCGCAGTTAGGATGATCGGGCCGAGGAACAGAACGTCTAGCATGTCTGAAGGCACTTCGAAGGTCAGCTTCAGAGGGTAGCCGAAAATGAAGCTGGGCTTGCTGGGGGGCGACTTGATCAAGGAAGCCCTTTCATGGCCCGATCGCAAACAATCTTAGCTCCAAGAATCGGCCTTCAGTGGGCATTGAGCGCAGCAGCTCTACCTTCAGGGTCTCAGGCAACATCTGAGGTCAGGCAACATCTGCGCTTATGGAACACCACCGCAAAACTTAAGCTGATCAGAAGGCACGCCCGAAGCACTAATCAATTCTGCCAGCGCTGCTGCGACTGCCTGTGGAGCGAGGGCACGCGGGGCGCCGATGCTGAACAATGTAGGATCTGGAACTCTCTCCCAGTCCGCCAATTTCTGGATGTCGAATGGCGTCCGCCTGTGCCATGGTTTGCTCCGTGGCTTGCAACTGCTGCCGCATCCGCTGCTGATCAGCTTCCACCCGTTCGGCGCTGGACTGAAGGTCGTGGATGTTTTTGCCTTGCACCTCGTTGGCCAGCGTTTTGCCTGCTGATAGAGAAGAACTCCTGCCTTTGCGCAGTGAAGGCGTTCTACTGCCTCTGAATGAGCTGGGTGAACTCGCAGTCGCAGAGAGTTGAGCCGTCGCCGCCGCGATCTGCGTCCTACCCGATGCCGCCAGCCCCTCTCCAAGCCCAGCAAGATCGGCAGGAGGAGGAGCATGATGAGCTGGGGGTGCCGAGGTGCCTTCCGCATCAGCTGGTAACCCACCCGCAACACCACCTTCGCCAGCAGAAGGAAACTGCGAAGCGGGGAATGTAGAAAAGCTGCCAAATCTTGCACCAGCCCAGCTTGAGCTCGTGGCGAAAGAGGAAAAAGTTGCGGCCCAGCAGCAGCGGCAGGCCCGCCACTTGCACCAGCATGTCCAGCAGGAGCAGGTGCGGTATGAGCTCTACTATGTGCTTGCCATGGGTCATGTTGAGCAAGTGAGACTGGCCGAGCTGCTGAAGGTCCTGGTCGGTGTGGTGTAAAACGTTCGGCCAGCTCTCTCCTATTATTACGACGGTCTCGATCTCGGTCATCAGAGTGACGCTGGGTTCCACTGCGTTCGGCTGCACTGCTGCTATTGGGATAACTGGCTTCCTTTTCGTCGTCTATCACGGGGAGGTGAGTGACGTCTGCGAGCGCCACTGGAGGAGCGAGAGGCGCCACCACTGGAGGCCAAGGGTCCTGCGTGAAGGAGAGACTGCGATGCCTGCTGCCGACGATGAGGGCCGACTCTGTTCCAGCGAGCCGTACTTGTAGCGGTCGGGCAGCACGAACGCACACGAGTGGTGCCAGCGAGGGAGCAGCCTGCTGCCGTGCGACGAACAGGACGGTGCAAAGATGGAGACCAGCGGCGCAGTGCGCCAGGAAGCTGGACTTAGGAAACGTAGTGCCTGCGGTGGAACAGGGCTTGGATGTGGAAGAATGCTGGGCTGGATGGTTGACCGGGAGCCTACCCCGCTGAGGCAGTGAATTGAATACCATTTTGGCCTTGCGCCAAAATTGCTACGGACATGAGTCTGAGGAAGAAGAGGAGGAGGAAAAAAGGAGGGAGAGGAGGAGGGTCTGAGATATGAGGAGGTCTGGTGGCGCCTGAGAAATAACAAGAACCCCATCTTCGGATATAGGAGGAAACAACACCTCGAACATCAACTAAGCCCCAGAGCGCGTGCTCGCGCCAACGTGCCCAAACCTGCCTGCGCCGTGAAGAATCACGTCGGAAGGTTGTGGGTCGTGTGCGCCATCCAGGGGCCATCGCTGGGCCCCAGGGCCCCCAGAAAACGGCTCGGGGTGAAGAACTGGCTCTGCAGGGGACAGAGTCGGGGGCTTCTGGGGACCTCGTGTTGAACAAATCGAGACTCCGCACGCCTGTGTGCGCTTGCCCACCGGCGCCCTCCAAGACGGCGCAGGCGGCGCAATGAGGGCTGACACAGGCTGCGTGCTGGCGGTGACGCTGAACGAGCCACACACACATGCACACACACACACACACACACACTGGGCGAACACACGTCCTGAGGATCATCGAGAAGAGGTCCGAGGACTCCCCAGCAAGACCGCCCGTGGGCGCCCGAACACGGGGCGGCTCCTCGAGAGGAAGAAAAAAGCGCATACGCATAAACTGTCAGAGCTCCGCGCTGACTTCTTGGCGGCGCCTCTGGCGCCGCCCCTGGCGTGCTCCGCGCGCCAGGGAGGTGGGATCCAGCGCCGATCCAAGGCATCCGCGCGGAGCTCCGAAACTCTATGTTCCTTTTACCCTGAGATCCGGCGTTGCGAAAGGACGGCAGCATCACAACAGGAGTACGACCAGAGCCCTGAACCCCATCTTTCCTCAGCCACGCGCAGAGGGGGGTACTGTAGGGGGAGAGGGGAGGGCTTCTTAGAAGCAACCCTGCTTCTCAGAAGGCGCGTGCCTTACCTACTATAGATGTAGGGCCAGCGCCATTTTAGAAGACGCCTCCTTCTAAGAAGCCTTCACCACCCCCTGCCCCCTTGTGCGCGCCACCAACTTCTGACACATCATTCTGGCCAGATCGACATGTCAGGGTCGGGACCCCCAAAACAAAACGAGATCGCCTGGTGCGACAAAAATGCGACGCCTGGGTCTCAGCCCCCCAGCCCCAAGCATCCAGCGTCTCGACTTGTTCGAGACACGGGTCCCCGCCTTCTTGGGGACGCACTGGCCCAAATCAATTCAAGCCTGGGTCAGCCAGGCTTTGCAGGATCCTGGAGAATCCTGCAGGATCCTGCGCGCTAGCCCGGGTCCATGAAGCCCTGGCTTTGCAGGATCCTGCAAGAGAGGGCGCTCTGGCTTACACCCGCTTGCATTGACCCCCGTCTCAAGGCCCCCGACCCGCCCTCTCGGCCACTTCCTCGGGGCCGTCTTTTCATCCCGAGTCGTTCCTTCGACGGTCCTGGGGCCCGGCGAAGGGACCCGACCCCGAGAGGCCGACAAAAACCGTCGCCTCGACTATTCTCAGGACGCCGGATGTCTGGGCCCGAGTCCAGAAGGCTCCTCCTCGAAAGCGGCCGCCTCGCCGCTGCCCACGGCCCGAAAGACGCACACGGCGCCGCCGCCGTGCACGTACAGCCGGCCGCGCGCGAAGGCGGCACGCGGCCTGAGGCGGCTGGGGTCGACCTGAGGGACAAGGACAGGAGTGGGCAAGCTCAAGGGGGGGGAGGCATCGACCTGGAAGCGGAGAGGGTTAAAGGTTCGAGACCTCTGGGCCTGAGGGTGAGCGGTTCGAGGACCTGGGGCGCTTTCGTCGGTTCTCGGCGGTCTTCCAGCCTCGGGATGCCTTCCAGCAACTGCGCCTCGTCGAGGGCGTTCCGGGGCGGCCCGGATCGTTTCAAACAGCCGCTGGAGGCCCGAGTTATAACCTGACGGCCATCAGGGGACCAGCTCAGAGGGGAAGCATCGACCTGGACTCGGCGACACATCGCCGACAGATCGGCGATAGGTCGATAGGACCCCGATAGCGAACCCACACGTTCCTGGACGGGGTGGGGCTATCAGGCCCCTAGTACTCGTCGATGAACCCAGACATGCGACGTCCTGATTTTTGTTCATACGCGGCCCCCCGAAGTCCCAACGCTTTCCCTGGGACCAGTTCTCTTCATCCCGAGTCGTTTTCTCACTGGCCAGGGGCCAAGCGAGGGCCCCCTGGGGGCCCAAAACGGTCACGAACCCTTCGCCCTGCTTTTGTTCACGACGCGAGCGCATGGCTGGGCAACCATTGTCGATGAACGGGCGGTTGGGGGGCGATACATCCCCCTGAGCCTGTCCCCCCCCCCCCCCCTTATCGCGGAGACGCAAAAACTCGGGTTCTGGGGACTGGTTTTGGCCTGACGGGGCCGTCATGAACCCGACGAGACCCAATCTGGAATTTGACGCGAGCTCCCGTTACAAACCTCCCACGAAAACTGGACCGTCAAAACCCACGACGCGCTCGTCAATCAGCGTCGGCAAACACGAGTTCCCGCGTACTCGAGCCTCACGTTTCCACTACGGTAGATTCTTGCGCCGTCGGCGCGCGCAAAGGTCTTTGACACCGCGTCGATCGTTCAACCTTGAACCAATCGCGAACCTGATCGTTCAAAGCTGAATCACGTCGGGTCCAGCGGCGTCACCGTGCCCCTCGGTGCTTCCGCGTCGCAGAATGCAACCTTGAACGCCTTCGCCAGCGTCGCCAGCGCGCCAATGCCGCATGAACCCAACCTACAGTCGGACCTAGGCCAGAAGAACATGCCTCAAGAACATGACCGCAGGCCCAAACACGCAGAGCATCCTAGGATACCCTCCCGAGGATGCACAAGAACATCCAACAAGCACGAAGAGCATTAGGGCATCCTCCCCGAAGCGACCTCGATCTCCTGCCTCGATCCGACGGACGACTGGTGGATGTTCGGTCAAAGCTCGGCTCTCCCGTGGCCGTTCGGGACGATCCCGGCACACCCGGAACGCTCTCAGCGAGGCGCAGCTGCTGGCGAGCTTCCCGAGGCTGGGAAACCGCCGAGAACCGACGAAAACGCCCGAAACCTTCGAGCCTCGAACCACACCCGGAACGCTCTCAGCGAGGCGCAGCTGCTGGCGAGCTTCCCGAGGCTGGAAAACCGCCGAGAGCCGACGAAGACGCCCGAAACCTTCGAGCCTCGAGCCCGGGCCTCGAAAACCTCGAAGACGCCCGAAACCTTCGAGCCTCGAGCCCGGACCTCGCACCTCGAACCTCGAACCGTTGAACCCCCGACGACCCGGAGGAGCCTCGGCGGCGCGCCGAGGCTCGGCGAGGCCCACACCCGCTGACCTGGAGGGGCCAGAGGCGATGTGAGCAGCAGGAGGAGGAGGAGGAGGAGGAGGAGGAGGAGGAGGAGGGGGGAGGAGGAGGAGGAGGAGGAGGAGGAGGAGGAGGAGGAGGGAGGAGGAGGAGGAGGGGAGGAGGAGGAGGAGGAGGGAGGAGGAGGAGGGAGGAGGAGGGAGGAGGAGGAGGAGGAGGAGGAGGAGGAGGAGGAGGAGGGGCCAGAGGCGATGTGAGCATCGGCTCCCCGAGGCCCCCACCGGGCCTCCAGGGAGCCGGCGCGGGTCCCAGACCCCCTTCGGGTCGTGGAAGCATCCCGACGGCAGGTGCTCCGTTCGCTAGGGCCTCCGTGGGCCCCTGCCGGGCCTCGGGGCCGTCGGAAGCGAGCAGGCATGAGAAACTTGGGCATGGCTTAATGGGGGGGTCACAAATGGGGGGGTCAGGAAAGGTCTCCTTTCGTGCCCCTTTCGGGCCCCTCCAGAGCCCCAGGGGGCTCGTTTAGGTACCGTTTGGGTACCTTTTCGGACCACCCTCGCCAACCCCCCATTTATGACCCCCCCATTACGCAGCGCCCAAAAAACAGGACGTCAAACAATGCCGGCTGGTTTTTCGTTGTGTTCGGCCTCTGGGGGCCTTACCCGGCCTCGGGACCGTCAAAAAACGGCTAAGGATTAAAGCCCAATCCTCTGGGAAATGGGTCGAGACCTCTGGGGGTCGACGTCATGAAAAGGACATGACCTCGGGAGTCTGGGGTTGGCGGCGCGCAGAGGGGGGTATGGGGGAGGGGGAAGGCTTCTTAGAAGGCTGTTTCTTAGAAGGCGCGGGCCTTACCACGTCTATAGATAAGGCCCAGGCATTCTAAGAAGCAGGAGTGTTTCTAAGAAGCCTTCCCCCCTCCCCCCTCCCCCCTCTGCGCGTGGCCGAGCTGGACCCCCCCCCGCAGGCATGCTCGAGCCACGAAAAAATCAGGATGGACATGTTGTTTGCTACTTTCAACCCATGGGGGGCCCTTTCTAGGCCTTGGGACCGTCAAAAGACGATTCGGGATGAAAAACTGGAAGGGTCGCGGCTTCCGGGGACCGCGCACTGAAAAGAATCAGGACGTCGCATGTCTGGGCCTCCCCCTTGAGATTTAGGCGTGCCCAAAGATTCTGCCTTGCTTCGGGCCCATGAAACCTCACGGGCTCGAAGACTGACTCAGACAGATGGGGTCCAGGGCTCTGGTCGTGGTTTCTGGGAATAGCGCAATCTACTCGCAACGCCAGGATCCCAGGGTAACCCTGACAGGTCTTTACAGAAACCCCCCAACAGGGGGCAACACATTACTTATTCGGCGGCCTGATTGGAAGACTGGGGTCCGACCAATAGGGGGGAACTACTTATTCTTTTCCGCGGTACCCGCCGCGCAAAAAAAAAGAGAAGGAAGAAGACGAGGAAAAGGAGGACGAGGAGGAGGAGGGAGGAGGAGTAGGAGGAGGAGTAGGAGGAGAAGGAGGAGGAGGAGGAGGAGGAGGAGGAGGAGGAGGGAGGAGGGAGGGAGGGAGGGAGGGAGGGAGGGAGGGAGGGAGGGAGGGAGGAGGAGGAGGAGGAGCAGGAGGAGGAGGAGGAGGTTTTAGGACCAGTCCGATCACCGCTAAGAGACACGGCGGGGGAGCCACCAAGACCGCAGACCTGCGGCGGCGAGGCTCTCTGACTTCCGCGCGGCTCTCCCGCGCGGCTCTCTTGGGCCGGGGCCGGACCCCCCACCCCCTCCTCCTCCTCCTCCTCTCCCTCCTACCTCCCTCCCCTCTCCCACCCCTCTCCTCCCCCTCCCTGCCTCCCTCCTCCTCCCCTCCTCCTCCTCCCCGTCCTCCTCCTCCCCCTCCCTCATCCTGTTCCTCCTTCTCCTCCTTCTCTTCCTCCTCTCTTCCCTCTTCCTCCTCCTTCCTCGCTCCTCCTCCCTCCTACTCCTCCTGCTCTCCTCCTCCTCCTCCTCCTCCCCTCCTCCTCCTCCTACTCCTCCCTCCTCCTCTCCATCCCTCCCTTCCTCCCTTCCTCCCTCCTCCCTCCTCCCTCCTCCCTCCTCCCTCCTCCCTCCTCCCTCCTCCCTCCTCCCTCCTCTTACCATCATCGGGGGATGCGAAGTCCCCGAAGACGGCTCGGGGTGGGCACGAGCGAGCACCACATAGCCGGCGCAAAAAATCAAAAGAGGCGTCACAGCCTCACCGGTCCAGATTGATCCGCCCACGGATCCACTGCAATTAATCTCCACTGAACTCGCTCCATGCGTACACCCTGCGAAATGCTTAAGAAATCATGGGTTAAGAAATTCATAGTCTCAGAAATTCCATAAAAACGCAGAACTTCTATCAAAATATTGGGCTTTGCATTGAAGAGTTAAGAATAATCGAGACTCTGGACGAAAACTTAGGTTTTCTTAAGCATCGCCTAAGGTGTAGCATGCTCTCCCCCCCCCCCTGGCGCGCTTCGCGATCTGCTTCCGATCCAGTCTCGCTCGCCGCGACCGGATCCCGCTCGGGGCCCGCCGGGCGCGGGTCGGCCTTGGGGCGCGCGGCTCCCCTGCTGCATCGGGCGTCGAGGACCTCCTCGGAGATCGAGGACCTGTCGAGGATCGGGGACCTATCGGGGATCGAGGACCATCGATCGAGGATCGAGGACCCCCTCGAAGATCCAGGGTCTATCGAGGATCAGCCGCCGTGTAGGAATGAGCCTGTTCTGAGCGTTCCCCGACGGCGCTGGCGCGAATCGTGACGTGACAGGCCCCCTCTCCTTCTCCCCCCATCACCGGGTAACGCCCGTTGTCGCCAAGGGGTAAGAAAAAAAATGCCTCATCCGACGCTGCGAGAAGATTGTAACAACATGGAAAATCATCATGAAACATATTTTCCCGTCGGCAGCGAGGCAGACTGGCTGCACCAGCGATAGAGCTAAACGGAGGCACCGAAAAGCGAATTGCCCAGCATGCAGGAGGACGAAGAAGACGGACAGCGGCCGCGGAGGGAGGAAAGAGACGGGGCCACTCAAAGGCGGAAGACTTCCATCCCGAGTGAGCTGGCGCGGCCGGCCCAGTCAGCGGAGACCGTGGCAGCAGCCGGGCCGCAGCGCCGGGGCACCCACGGGCGATGGCGGGGCCCAGTACCAGGAACAACTGATGCAGTGATGCCGTCGGTGAACTAGAAGTACGTGCACGTCAGGACAAGCGCCGTGTGGCCGCCCAGCTGGGTGGCTGGCTGTCGAGGTACTGACGGCAAGTCCGCGAGCAGTCCATGCTTCAGACTGCCACCAGCAAAATGCTGGGCCCGCGAGTTCGCGCGGGCGGCAAGACCAGGCCAGCACTGAACACGGGGGCAGCAGCCCGCCGCGGCAGAGGCGTGGGCCCCAGGGCGGCGCGCGGAGGGTGGGGGGGGGGGGGGGGATAAGGCAGGGGAGAGGACGGGAAGGGGGCGGGGAGGAGGAGCGCCCTCCGCCCGCAGGGAGGCCCCCGCAGAGCCGGGGCGGCAGCCCGGGCGCCCAGTGCCCGCCGGAGCAGGAGGCAGGCCGCCCGCGCCCTGTGCTGGCGCGGGCGCCCGCGCACGCTGCCCCGGGAGGGCGGGGTGGGGCGGCGGGCGCGCCCGCCCTGCGGCCGTCCAGCACGGGGGCGCGGAGCGGGCGTACAGTCGGGGCGTTGACCTAAGGAACCCTAAATAAGGAACGAGGCCCCTTTTTTCCATGGGTCAAACTTCGATTTCCCGTCGAAAGCACCAGGAAAACCTGAGGCCAGCTGTGAAACACTTCAGGAACACCGAGCCCCTCCCCAACGAAAAGGGTTCCTTCTTCAGCACCCCGTCTGTACAGCCAGGAGCAAGACTGCGGCAAATGCCGCGGGGCCACGCGCTGCCCGGGTGGACAGTGTCCGGGGCCGTCTTGGGCGTCTCTGGAGCAGTCTGGGGCCGTCTTGGGCGTCTCTGGAGCAGTCTGGGCACAGTCTGGGGGTCGTCTTGGGCCGTCCTGGGCCGCTCTTGGGCCCCTGTATGGCCGTCTTGGACGCTATGAAGAATGCAAGCCCGAGAACTGCCAAAATGCATTACTTCCCAGAGAAATCGGACTGTGTTCGGGCTCTCTTGGTGTAGCTCACTTGGGGCGTTTTGGAAGCCTCTTGGGCCGTCTGGAGGCCGTGTGAGGCGTTGTCGGGGCCGTCTGGGGGTTGCCTGGGGCCGCTTTGGGTGTCTCTGGAGCAGTCTGGGCACCGTCTGGGGGTCGTCTTGGGCCGTCCTGGGCCGCTCTTGAGGCTGCCTTGAGCACCCCGTGGGCCGCCAGGAGAGCCTCAGGAGCCGTCCTGGGGCCATCTTGGGACCTGGCATAGCCGTCTTGGACGCTATGAATCGGGCAAGCCGGAGAACTACCAAAATGACGTTCCCCAAAGAAATGCGACGATTTTTCGGTGTTCGGGCTCTTGTGGGGCTCGTCGTGAACCCACGTGGAGCGTTTGGGAAGCCACTTGGACTGTCTTCGGCCATCTGGGGGCCCTCTTAGGGGCATCATCGTGCGTCTCGGAACGCTCTTCGACCATCTTGGAAGCGCGCCGAGGCCTGCTGCCTGCTGGGGCTCGCAGGGGCCGTCGGCGAGGGCCGGTCCGCTGCCACAGATCGGCAGCTCCGAGAGCGCCGGTCCGGCCATTGTAGGAGAGATGACGTCGGGCTCCAGCTTCGCCTCCCACACCTCGCTCAGTTCTGACAGCGCGTGTTGCCATTGTCTTCATTTTCTGCATGCGTTGACAGTGGCAACGCAGTGGCCTGGGACAAGCAAGTTGCACACCTAATCGAATTCCTTCGCGGAGCAACCGCAGTGCTACGCTCCATTGCTTTGTCCGACCGCAGTTCTTGATCGACGCTCCGATGGAAGTCGCGCCTTCTCGAGACCCTCGACCGATGCCAAGCATCCGAGAAGACAAGGCATCACGGCTTGAGCCAAAAATTACCTTGGGTCACAAAATGGCTTGAGCCAACATGGCTTGAGCCAAAAGGCTACGGATCGTCGTGAAAACATCCAGACGGAAGGTCTTTGGCCGTTTTGGGCCTCTGCAGGGGGGTCCTTACCGGGACCCGGGACAGTCAAAAAACGAGTCGGGATGGAAAACTGACCCCAGGGACAGGGTGGGGACCCCAGGAGACCGCGCATTGAAAAAAGCAGGTCATCGCAGATGTCTGAGTATAGACCCCGTCCTTCCGCAGCACGCATCGAGCCGTGATGGCCGCGGGGGCCGAAGACGGGCGAGAACGCCCGGTGAAAAACATGCAACGCCTGAAGCCGTGATTTTTCTGAACGTGGCTCCTTGCCCAGACCCCCGACGTCATGATTGCCAGAGGTCTCGACCCACTCCCTGGGACCAGCTCCTTGTCCCGAGTCGTCTTCTGACGGTCTCGAGGTCTGGTAAGGGCTCTGGGAGGCAGAAAATAGCGAATAAACTCCAGTCGTGATTTTTGTCATAACCCGAGGGGTCTGGGCACCCAAACATGTTCGCGTTGTGTGTTTCGCCGTTTTCGACCTCCTGGGGCCCTTCCGGAACCGTGAAAGAAACGATCAAGATGAACAAAAAAAACCGGTCCCACCGGGAACAGCGGGGGACTCTTCCAGGGGCCCCGCAGTGAAACAAAAATCAAGACACTGCATGTCTGCAGCCTGCCCAGACCCCCCCGGGCCTTGAAAAAAACATGACGCGTGGCTTTTCGTTATTTTTGACCTCCTGGGGCCCAGAACGACTCAGGATGAGAAACCGGTCCCAGGGAATGGGTCGAGACCTCTGGGGGTCGACGATGTGAAAAAAACACGACGTCGGGGGTCTGGGTGGACCACTTCCCAGGGACCAGCTTTTCGTCCCGGGTCGTCTTTTGACGGTCAGCAGGGCCCGGCGAGGACCCCCTGACGCCGGAAACTGTGAAAAGCACCCGTTTCCCAGGCATGTGATGTCTTGATCTGTTCGACACGCGGTCCCCCGAGGTCCCGACCTATTCCACCCCGAGATCCGACGTCTCAACGGAAAAAAAGAAAAAACAAAACAAAAAAAAAAACATCGCGAACAATCGCGACTGGAGCCCTAGACCCCATCTTTCTGCCCCACTGTTCGAAGCAGATCGATATGCGAGGGTCCTGGGGCCCGAATCTGGGCGAACACGCCCAGCTCGAAGACGTGGAGCGGTCCCAGGGCCCCGTAAGGACCCGCCTGGCCGAAACCGACGAAGACCTCCCATCCCGACTTTTGCCACGGCGCGAGCAGCTCTGGCTCCTATTCTTTGCCAACGCGCTGGGGGTCCGGGACTGCAGCGCCCAGAGCTGACCGCGGCCATTGTATGGCGTTGCCAGCTTGCGGCACCCGTGTCGGGCATGTCTTGTGGCCTCTCTCGCGAACCCTTGGGCAGGAGACCACACGCGAACCCTACCCCTACCCCCCACGATTTCTGAGGGGGAGGGTGGGGTTCACTTCGTTCGGGAGCTCTCGAGCGAAGTGAACCCCCCCCTCGCCCTCAGAAATCGTGGGGGTAGGGGTAGGGTTCGCGTGTGGCCCCCTATCGGGGGGAGCCCTGGGGAGCCCAGCGGGGCTGGCGTGGGGCTGAGCCACCCCGTGTTGACCAGGACCGCCGCTCCGGTCCAGAGCCCTGGCGGCGCGAACAAAACGCCCAGACATGCGACGCCCTGATGTTAATCAATACTCTTTTTTTTGTTCGCGGCCGCAGGCGAAAGCGCACACGGCGTGTCGTAAGTCCAGGGCGCGGGCCTACAAATCGAAACAGCGACAAGCAAGCAAAGGCGCGATACCGAGCGCGCGATCAGATGTGAATCGATACGCGGACCCTGGAAGTCCCAACCAGTTCCCCGGGGCCCGTTCTTCGTCCTGTTTCGTGTTTGCCGGTCCCTGGGCCCGGTGAGGACCCCCCAGAAGCCGAAGGCAACGGAAGACCTCCCGCCCTGATCTTCTCGCGACGCGAGCATGTCCGGGCGGACGGCACCATCCCCCGACGCCATGATTTTGTCAGAACGTCGACCCCGAGACCCTGAGATCCGACGCTCCAAAAAAATCGGAGCGGCGGATTTGCGGCCGTTTTCGGCCTCCAGGGGCCCCGGCGGGGCCTCGGGACCGTCAAAAAACGACTCACGACGAAAAACCGGATTTAGGGAAGTGGTTCGGACCTCTGGGGCTCACGCATCGAAAAAATTTGACCACTCGGATGTCTGGGAACGTTGACCCCCAGAGGTCTCGACCCATTTCCCCAGTCGTTTATTGACGGTCGTTTTTGGATGGTCCCGAGGCCCAGCAAGGGCCCCGGGAGGCCGAAAATTGTGAAAAACCTCCCGTCGTGATTCTTTTTCATAACGCGAGGGGGTCTGGGCCTCATGGTTTTCTGCTCCTCAGCGGCCGTCGCTCCAAGCAATGCCCGGCCCCGCGCCGCCCGCGGGTAGCACCTGGCCCCAGGCAGTACCAAGCGGGGTCACCACCAGTGGGGTCGCCACTTCTTCGAGGAAGCGCCCCAGACATGCTCACATCGTCAAAAATCAGGACTATCGAAAAAATCGAGACGACAGTTTTTCGCTTTCGGCCTCTGGGGGCCCTTACCAGGCCTCGGGACCCTCAAAAAACTTTCGGGGATGAGAGACCAGTCCCAGGGAAGTGGTCGAGAGGTCGGGGGCCCGCGACTCGACAGAATGGAGACGCAGGATGCCTGGGGAGATTCTTGCTCGTTTTGGGGCGCTAGGGGCCCTCACCTGGGACCGTCAAGAAACGGATCAAGAGGAAAAACAGGTCCCGGGGAAAGGGTCGGGACCTGTTGGAAGGATGAAGAAGTCGCATGTCTGGGGCCATTCCTGGAGATCTGGACGTTGCAGTTCTTTCACACCAGGCAGTTGTGTCGCCCGGTTTCGGGCCCTGGAGCCCTCTAGTCGAAAAATGTCGCGTTGTCGCATTTGTGCTCGCAACGCCCCGCTCTCACTGCGCTTCCAAAAGGAACTGGATCACCCAGACCACCCCAGAGGTCCCTGGAACAACCCCAAGCGTGCAAAACTCCACGAGCGTCTCTCCTAAAACTCTAAGATCCGACAAGGCGAGAAACAAAAAAATCCACCGGCACACTTGTGGGGCCACCAGGCTGTAGGACTAGGCTTGCTGCTCCCTGCACCAGTTGCAGGTTCCAGCTTCCAATGTGATAGCTTTGTTTTCTGCGTCCTACTATAAATTCTTACTGAACGCGCGATGGGGGGAGCCGAAAATCAATGGATTTACCATGCCCCTCCGGGGTTCCCAGAAGTCCTGGGGGGTCATGGGCTCGCGCCCGCGAGGCCAGAACTCTTTTAAATGACTCAATAGTCGCGTCCCCGAGGCCATAAACCTTCAGAAGGTATACCACATGTGCGTCCCAGATGCCACACCTTACTAAATTACGCCATGCTCGCGTCCCGAAGGCCATAAACCCATGTAAAGTATACCATGTTCGCGCCCCCGTGGGCCATAAACCCTTGTAAGATATACCAGGTTTGCGTCCCCGAGGCCACAAACCCTTTTTAAATTACACCATCTTCGCGCCCCCGAAGCCATAAGCCCTCGAAAATTACGCCATAGTCGCGTCCCCGAGGCCATAACCCCCGATGAATTATGCACTACTCACGTCCCCCAAGCCATAACCCTTTGCAAATGTCCCATTATGATTGAGAGGGGGCCGGCGGCAGAGGGCGAAGCCCTCACGGATAATAATCATAAACATCCGAAGTGGCGGGTTGGGCCGTGCGAGACCTCTCTGACAGAGTGTTTGGCACAATCTTTGGCCCCCTTCGCCAGTGCCTGGTCCAAAACCTCCCTGAAGTCCCTCCAAGGGGGCCCCACCCTGGGGCCCTTCCACGTCCGGAACAGCCCGGGGACGACCCAAGAGCGCCCCAAGCCAGCCCAAGAGAGCCCCAAGACGGTCCAAGAGAGCCTCCAGACGGCTCCAGATCGCTCCGAGGCGCCCAAGATTGCCTCCCAACGGCCCAAAACGCCTCCAAGACGGCCCGAGAGGCCTCCAAAAGCACCCCCAAGAGAGCCCCAAGAGACAAAAATCAGTGATTGTTGTATGGTTTTTGAAGGATTTTCGTGTTCTCGCCATTTCGGCTTACCGACGCTCCAAGACGGCCCAAGAGGCCCCCGAGATCGCTCCAAAACGGCCCAACAAGCCCCCAAGTGGGCTACAAGACAGCCCAGGAGGGCCCCAAGACTGCCCAATAGGCCCCCAGGACGGCCCACGAGGGGCCCCACGAGGGCGCCCAGAAGAGGAACCCGAATGAACATTTCGAGCTTTCGGTCCCAAGAGGCCCCCAGGAGGCTCTAAGAGGCCCCGAGGAAGCCCCCAAGAGGCCCCAAGAGAGCCCCAAGAGGCTCCCAAAAAGCCCCCAGGATGGCCCCCAAGAGGCCCCTAAACTCCCCCGCAGAAGCCCCCGAGAGCCCTCTCGAGAGACGCCAGGAAGCGTCCATGAGGACTCCGACCCAAAACCCAAGCACGGTGGCGAGATGGGCCGACGGCTATCTGATAGCTGGCATACGCGCCGCGTCACGACTTTCGATGCTGCGCACCACTTCGACGAACTCCCAAACATCTGAAAAAAACACAATCGGAACCCAAAGCCCAATATTGATGTTACATTGTTCGCGCCTGATCGGCCTGTGATCGAAAGCTTGGACTTGGCGTCCCCGCGGTTCCCGGAAGCCGCGCACCCCCTGAAATCCGACGTCGCTGAAAAATTGCAACATCGTACAAAACATGATCGACCCACGAACCCGGAAAGGAATATAGAAATGTAAGGCATGGCAACGCTTCAAAGACACCTGATTGGGCGACGGGCAAATGCAATGCTGAATGTATCGATTTTAATGTACCGTGCCAGAGGCTGTGCTGTGCTGCGCTCTGGGATACGTGGTCCCAGCTCGGGACAAACCATGTGAGATACACCCCCCTGGGGGGCCTGGACACATAGAAACACTTGGTTCCAGCGCGGGACCACCATCTTAGATACCCCCCTGGGTGGCCTGGACACGTAAAAACACGTGGTTCCAGCTCGAAACCACTATGTAAGATATTCCATCGGTGGCCTGGACACGTAAAAACACGCAGTTCCAGCCGACACTGGGGAGGGCAAATCTATAGGCACACACGTAAAACACACGGATTTGTGCCCTAGGGGAGGGCCCAGTCTATATTCAAAATACACGGGTTCGCGCCTCTGGGGGCATCTTTTGCGAATTGGTCGGATATCCAGACCTCGTTATTTTTCGAAGGTGATAAACAAAACGCGCCACACCTTCTTTTTTACAAAAGAAAACGGTGGTCTGCGGACCCCGTGATTGATCGAGGATCCGACGTGGGAGGCGCACCTTCCTCGAGCGGGCACGCACGAAACGCACTTCGTCGACTGGAAAATGATAATTCACGTTGCCGGCCTCCTTCAAGTCGAGGCGGGGGGGAAAACCCACTAGAAAATAACCCTGGGCCTATGCCCTTTCTGGGAAAAACCCTCCGCCGTGATCTTTCCATGGCTCGAGGGGGTATGAGACCCTGGAACCTCGATCCTCAGCAGGGACTGGGTAGGCGGCGCACACGGGGGGAAGTGAGAAGGGGCGGGCCTTCTCAGAAGGCTCGGAAGTTCCTCGGCCTTCTGAGAAATCCTCTGCGCCTTCCCCGAAGACGCAGAAAACCTCTCAGAAGGCGCGAGGGCTTCTGACAGCCCCGCCGCCTTCTGAGAGGGCCTTCTCCTTATCACTTCCCTCCCTCGCTCGCCGCCGAGGTTGGTTTTGGGGTCATGGCTCGGGTCTTCGGCGGCCGTTCGGGACGATCTGGGCAGCCCCGGAACGCCCTCGGCGAGGCGCAGCTGCTGGCAAGCATCCCGAGGTTGGAAAACCGCCGCGGACCGACGAAAACAACCGAACACCTCGAACCTCGGGCCCGAGACTCCTCGAACACCTTCTCACGTTCCCCCCTCGCTCGCCGCCGACTGGTGACCCTCTGGGGTGGTGAGCCCCCTCGGCACTGCCCCACCTGGGTCCAGCAGGCCAAGGGCTCGCGCCACGAGCAGCGGGGGCGGCGCCCGGAGAAGACCGGCGGCCTCTCGGGTCGGACGAAATGGGCACTCTCGGTTTTCTTACCCAGCGTGGGGGGATACCCCCCCGACGGGGGTCAACCTCGCCTCGTCGTCGCGCCGCGGCGGAGGTCGGAGCGCCTTCGGCGCGCGGTGGCTGCCCGCGATGGGGGTCGATGCTGCCCGCGATGGGGGTCGATGCGGGGCTGTCGGCGGGGGTGAGGCCCCCCCGGCGCTCAGTCAGAAACTCGGAGTATCGGCACCACTTCGGTCGGGCATGTCCTCCTACAGGCGGATTTGGGAAAGGAAATCTCAGAATTGTCCCCAACATGGTCGAACAGATTCAAAAGAGGACGGAAAGATGTCACCAGTCATCAGACTGTTTGCTGACGATTCTTGCTATTCCCCCTGTAGAGGGACATGCCCGACTTCAGGCTACACGCAAGAGTGACCTGAAGTCGGGCAGTGGAGACCTTTGGTGCGCGACCTTAGGGAGCGGTTTCCCTGATATCCGACGTTCCAAAACATGATCGACCCACGAACCAGAAAAGGACTAAAGAAATGTAAGGCATGGCAACGTTTCGAAGACACCTGATTGGGCGACGGGCACGTGAAATGATCTTGATGTACCGTGCCGAGGGCTGTGCTGTTCTGCGCCGTACTGAACTGCGATGTGCCATGCCGCGATTGTGCTCTATAGCGTTGTGGAGCGAGTCCTCCTTTGCATCCGAGTCCTGACCGAACTGATCTGGATGACAGCTCGAGGAGCCTGAATTGACAGGAGAACATGCCAGGAGGACGCACCGCGGAATGCCCCAAGGGACGCGCCAGGCGACGTGCCAGGGGACGTGCCATGGGGACACACCGCGGGATGTGCCAAGGGAGCGCGCTACGGAACGTGCCAATGGACGTGCCACGGGAAGTGCCAGGGGACGCGCCGCGCGACGTGCCAGGGGGACTCGCACCAGGCCGCGCCACGGAACGTGCCAAGGAACGTGCCAGGTTGCAATGCTGAATGTATCGATCTTGATGTCTTGATGTACCGTGCCGAGGGCTGTGTTGTGCCTGGGCGACCTGGACACGTGAAGACAAGCGTTTTGCTCAAGACACTCTCAACACATCCTCATGCTAGACATCTGCCTGGGCGACCTGGACACGTGCAAACAAGCATCTCGATCGAGACTTCCTCAACCTATCCGCATGCTAGACATCCACCTGGGCGACCTGGACGCGTGAAGACAAGCGTCTCGATCGAGACATCCTCATCAAGTCCGTATGCTTGACATCTGCCTGGGCAACCTGGACGCGTGAAGCCAAGCGTCTCGCTCGAGACATCCTCAAGATCTGGGCACGTGGAAACAAGCATATCACCTGAGACATCCTCAGAATCCTGGCCCCCAGGACAGAAGTAAACTATAACAGAAAACAAGCGTTTCGCTCGAGACATCCTCAGCAAATTCTGAAAAGTTGGCGAGGACATGTAAAAACACTTGGTTCCAGCGAGGACCGCCGTGTTAGATACCCCTTGGGTGGGCTGGGCACGTGAAAACACGTGGTTCCAGAACGGGAACACCATGGACCACCATGTTAGATACCGCCCTGGGTGGTCTGGACACGTGAAAACACATGGTTCCAGAACGGGACCACCATGTTAGATACCCCCCAGGGTGACCTGGACACGTGAAGACACTTGGTTCCGGAACGGGACCACAATGTTAGATACCGCTCTGGGTGGCCTGAACATGTAAAAACACACGGTTGCAGCGCAGGACCACCATGTTAGATACCCCCCTGGGTGGCCTGGACACGTGAAAACACATGGCTCCAGCGCAGGACCACCATGTTAAATACCCACCTGGCTGGCCTGGACACATGAAAACACGTGGTTCCAACCACCCAGGCGGGATATCCAACATGCGGTCGTCTGGGGCGCAGGAGGGCCCATGAACGGCCAGAGGCGCCTGGATGCCAAAAAATCAACGAATCGATACCAAATACAAACCAACTCTCGACGTTCCGTCCCGGGCCCCAGGAAGGCCCCAGGAGGCCCATGTTAGATACCACCTGGGTGGCCTGGACACGTGAAAACAAGCGGTTCCAGCGTAGGAACACCATGTTGGATACCCCTCCTGGATGGCCTGAACACTTAAGATGATCGACCCACGAACCCGGAAAGGAATATAGAAATGTAAAGCATGGCAACGTTTCAAAAACATCCGATTGGGCGACGGGCAAATGCAATGCTGAGTGTATCGTTCTTGATGTACCGTGCCGAGGGCTGTGCTGTGCTGCGCCGTGCTGAAATGCGATGTGCCATGCCGCGATTGTGCTCTATAGCGTTGTGGAGCGAGTCCTCCTTTGCATCCGAGTCCTGACCGAACTGATCTGGATCTGAAGCTCGAGCTGCCTGAATTGACAGGAGAACATGGACGCGCCGCGGAACGTCGCCAGGTACGCGCCAGGCGACGTGCCAGGGGACGTGCCATGGGGACGCACCACGGGACGTGCCAAGGGGACGCGCCACGGAACGAGTTAATGGACGTGCCACGGGACGTGCCAGGGGACGCGCCGCGCGACGTGCCAGGTAGACTCGCCACGGGACGCGCCACGGAACGTGCCAAGTTGTAATGCTGAGTGTATCGTTCTTGATGTACTGTGCCGAGGGCTGTGCAGTGCTGCGCCGTGCTGAACTGCGATGTGCCATGCCGCGATTGTGCTCTATAGCGTTGTGGAGCGAGTCCTACTTTGCATCCCAGTCCTGACCGAACTGATCTGGATCTTAAGCTCGAGCTGCCTGAGCACATAGCAGCTGCCCCAGAGCTAATTGACAGTACAGGAGAACATGCCAGGAAGACACGCCGCGGAACGTCCCAAGGTACGCGCCAGGCGACGTGCCAGGGGACGTGCCACGGGGACGCATCGCGGGACGTGCCAAGAGGACGCGCTACGGAACGTGCCAATCGACGTGCCACCTCATGCTAGACATTCGCCTGGGCGAACTGGACACGTGAAAACAAGTGGTTCGCTCGAGACATCCTGCACGCATCTTCATGTTAGACGTCCGTTCCAGGCCCCCAGGAAGGCCCCAGGAGACCCATGTTAGATACCTCATAGGTGGCCCGGACACGTGAAAGCACCTGGCTCAGCCATGTTAGATACCCCCGTGGGCGGCCTGGACACGTAAAACCACATGGTTCCAATTCGGGGAAATTATATTAGATACCCCGTGGGTGGCCTGGACACGTAAGCACACGTGGGACCCGCTCTGGGCAATCGTGTTAGATACACCCTGGGGAGGCCTGGACACGTTACAACACGTGGTCCTTGCTCGGGACAGCCATGTTGGATATCCCCCTGGGTGGCCTGAACAACACGTAAAAAATACGTGGTCCTTGCTCGGGACAACTATGTTAGATACCCCCCTGGGTGGCCTGGACACGCAAAACACGTGGTTCGAACTCGGGAGAACCATTTTAGATATCCCCCTGGGTGGCCTGGACATGTAAAGACACGTGGTTCCAGCTCTGGACAACCATGTTAGATGCCCCCCTGCGTGGCTTGGATACGCTGGATTCGAGCTCTCGCTCGAGACATCCTCGCAATGCCATCCCTGGAGAGGCCCCCAAAGCGCCAGCCCCTGTCCAGAGCAAGAAAACATCACTTCCCCGGTTTGGGATATGTGTCCGGGTAGCGCTTTTCGGCCCCCCCGTGCGTTTCCTGATAATTCGGCGTTGGGCCCGACGCCATGTTCGATACCCCCCTGGGCGGCCTGGACACGTAAAAACACTTAGTCCCTGCTCGGGACAACCATGTTAGATGCCCCCCTGGGTGGCCTGGACACGAAAAAGCACGTGGTTCCAATTCGGGGCAATCATGTTAGATATCCCCCTGGGTGGCCTGGACACGGTAAACACGTGGGTCAAGCTCGGGAGAACCATTTTAGATATCCCCCTGGGTGGCCTGGACATGTAAAAACAAGTGGTTCCAGCTCGGGATAACCATGTTAGATACCCTCCTGCGTGGCTTGGATACGTGGATTCGCGCTCCCGCTCGAGACTTCCTCGCAATGTCTTCCCTGGAGAGGCCCCCAAAGCGCCACCCCCTGTCCAGAGCAAGAAAACATCACTTTGCTGTATTGGGATATGCGTTCGGGTAGCACTTTTCGGCCCCCCGTGCGTTTCCTGATAATTCGGCGTTGGGCCCGACGCCATGTTAGCTACCCCCCTGGGCGGCCTGGACGCGTGAAAACACGTGGTCCTTGCTCGGGACAATCATGTTGGATACCCCCCTGGGTGGCCTGGACACGTAAAAATAATAGCTCCAGCTCGGGACAACCATTCTAGGTATCCCCCTGGGTGACCTGGGCCGTCGTGGGGCCTCCCGGAGAGGGCCAATATAGAGGAACATGCGAAAAAACACACGGAGTCATGCTCCTGGAGAGAGCTAACCGATGGGAGCGCACGAAACAAAACACATATCGTACCCTTCACGCAAATGTGTCCCGCACCCTGTGTTTTATCGAGCGGAATTTCAAAAACCAAATTTTCACTCGGGGTGTCCTCAAACATAATTTCGCCGGCCCTACGCGGCCTCGTTATTTATCGCAAATAATTTCGCTAGCCCTACAGCCGTCGGGGCCGGGAGTTTAACCAACTAAAAGAAAACCCTGGGTATAGGCACTTTCCGATGAAAAAACGCAACATCGCAGAGTCCTGGACCGCATCTTTCTGCGCCATCTTTCGAGCCAGATCGATCTGCGAGGGCCGCGGGCGCCAAAAGCGGGCGAACAAAAACGCCTGGCATGTGGCAGAATTGCAACGCCCACGCCTCAGGGACACGCGCCAGACATGCGACTTCCCCATTTTTTCAACACGTCTCAGGCGGGTGGCACAGTCAACCCACATAGTCAGGATGCGGGATCAGGACGCAAAGGCCTTGGACGCCCATTTCGAAACTTTTCGAGCGGCGCGTGGCCAAAGAAAGTGGCCAAGGATGGACCGAGGAGGTAAGGATGCAAGGGCACCGTTGGGAAAATTGCCCACCCTCACTATGCGGGTTGACTGCAATGGGGGTGACCTAAACGTGGGGTGAAGAGAAAGACCCTAGGTCCTTTTCTGCACCCCCCATTTAGGTCACCCCCCATGACCACCCGTCCGAAGGTCCCAACCCTTTCCCCAGGACCGGCTTTTCCTCCCGAGCCTTTTCTTGACGGTCCCAGGGCCCGGTGAGGGCCCCCAACGTCCCAAGACGGCCCAAAACCTCCCGCGCCTTGATTTTTGCCACGAGGCGAACATGTTCGGGGCGCTTTTCCTAGAGGAAATGGCGGCCCCCTCAGTGGTGATCCCTCGTCCGGCACGAGCCTCGTTTCTCGGGCGCCGCCAGCCCGCAGCGCGCGGTGGAGCCGCGCGAGCTGGAGGAAGCGCCGCTGGGGCGCCGGCAAGATGGCGGCCTCGGGGGCCATCAACAAAAATGGTCTGCCTGGTAGGGCTTCTTTAAAACTCTAAGAAAAGAGCCCCCCCTCATTGTCTACGGACTGTCGCGTGCCTCCCCCCGACTCGACGAGGCCACTTTCCTCGTGCACGCCCGAGGATGGTGCAGATTCCCGCATGGCAGCTGATGCCAGACCCCCCGTCCACGCATGCCCGCTCGAGGATGAAGAACTTTTCGACTGGCTGCTAATGCTAGGTTGGGCGCGTCCTCCTACAAGCGGAATTTGGTAGAAAAACATGATCGACCCACGAACCTGGAAAGGAATATAGAAGTGTAAGGCATGGCAACGCTTCAAAGACACCTCCTGATTGGGCGACGGGCAAACGCAATGCTGAGTGCATCGATCTTGATGTACCGTGCCGAGGGCTGTGCTGTGCTGCGCCGTGCTGAGCACATAGTAGCTGCCCCAGAGCTAATTGACAGGGGAACATGCCAGGAGGACGCGCCGCGGAACGTCCCAAGGGACGCGCCAAGCGACGTGCCAAGGGACGTGCCACGGGGACGCACCGCGGGACGTGCCGAGGGGACGCGCTACGGAACGTGCCAACGACGTGCCACGGGACGTGCCAAGGGACGCGCTGCGCGACATGCCAGGGGGACTCGCCACGGGACGCGCCACGGAACGCGCCAAAGAACGTGCCAAATTGCAATGCTGATTGTATCGTTCTTGATGTACCGTGCCGAGGGCTGTGCTGTGCTGCGCCGTGCTGACCTGCGATGTGCCATGCTGCGATTGTGCTCTATGGCGTTGTGGATCGAGTCATCCTTTGCATCCGAGTCCTGACTGAACTGATCTGGATCTTAAGCTCGAGCTGCCTGAGCACATAGTAGCTGCCCCAGAGCTGATTGATAAGGGAACATGCCAGGAGGACGCGCCGCGAAACGTCCCAAGGGACGCGCCAGGCGACGTGCCAAGGAACGTGCCACGGGGACGCACCGCGGGACGTGCCGAGGGGACGCGCTACGGAACGTGCCAATGGACGTGCCACGGGACGTGCCAAGGGACGCGCTGCGCGACGTGCCAGGGGGACTCGCCACGGGACGCGCCACGGAACGTGCCAAGGAACGTGCCAAGTTGTAATGCTGAGTGTATCGTTCTTGATGTACCGTGCCTAGGGCTGTGCTGTGCTGCGCCGTGCTGAACTGCGATGTGCCATGCCGCGATTGTGCTCTATAGCGTTGTGGAGCGAGTCCTCCTTTGCATCCGAGTCCTGACCGAACTATCTGGATCTTAAGCTCGAGCTGCCTGAGCACATAGCAGCTGCCCCAGAGCTAATTGACAGGACAGGAGAACATGCCAGGAGGACGCGCCGCGGAACGTCCCAAGGTACGCGCCAGGCGACATGCCAGGGGACGTGCCACGGGGACGCATCGCGGGACGTGCCGAAGGGACGCGCTACGGCACGTTAAAATACGTGGTCCCTCCTCGGGACAACCATGTTAGATATCCCCGTGGATGGCCTGGACATCTAAAAACACATGGTGCTAGCTCGGGAAACCATGTTAGATACACCCCTGAATAGCCTGGACACGTTAACACACGTGGTCCTTGCTCAGACCAATCATGTTAGATGCCCCCATCTGGGTGGCCTGAATACGTAAAGGCACGTGGTTCAAGCTCGGGGCAACCATGTTAGATATCCCCTTGGGTGGCCTAGACATGCAAAAACATATGGGTCCGGCTCGGGACCACCATGTTAGATACCCCCCTGGGTGGCCTGCACACGTAAAAACTCATGGTCCAGCCCACCCAGGGGGGATATCTGACATGCGACCGTCTGGAGCGCAGGAGGGCCCAGGAACGCCCGGAGGCGCCTGGAGGCCAAAAAGTCAACGAATCGACACCAAATACAAATAAACTCTCGACGTTCCGTTCCGAGTCCCAAGAAGGATCCAGGAGTCCCATGTTAGATACCCCCTGAGTGGCCTGGATACGTGAAAACACATGCTTCCAGCTCGGGACCACCATGTTAGATACCCCCATGGGTGGCCTGCACACGTGAAAACACACGGTTCTAGCGCAGGACCACCATGTTAGATACCCCCCTGTGTGGCGTGGACATGTAAAAACACGTGGCTCTAGCTTGGGACCACCATGTTGGATACCCACCTGGGTGGCCTGCACACGTGAAAACACGTGGTTCCAGCGCGGGACCTCCATGTTAGATACCCCATGGGTGGCCTGGACACGTGAAAACACGTGGTTCCAGCTCGGGACCAACATGTTAGATACCTCATGGGTGGCTTGGACACGTACAAGCCCATGTTAGATGCCTACCTGGGTGCACTGGACACGTGAAGCGACGTGGTTCCAGCTCGGGCAGAATTAGGAACCCACGTGTTTTCACGCTTTTCCAAGGATGCGTGCCCCAAGAGAGGCCCAATCTATAGGAACATATATGATTTATCGATCGGGATTTCAAACATCAAAGTTTTGCCTGGGAGATCCTCAGATGTTGATTCGCTGGCCCTACTCGACCTCGTTATTTATCAAGGAAAGAATTCGCCGGCCCTACAGAAATCTGGCCCGGGGGACAGGTTTACCTGCTAAAAGAAAAACCTGGGCCCGAGCCCTTTCCGGGAAAATGAAACAGAATCATACCAACGAAAGTGATCAAACAAATATCCCATGACTATTGTTCTACTATGCTTGAATATTTCTCCTGTAAAAGGACACGCCCGACTTGAAGCTAATGCCAGAACCTCCCAGCCCACGACAGGACGCAAATGCACGCGGGGGGGAAGCAGCTGGAGCCGGGACATCCAGCGCAGTGAGAAGGACTCGGCGCGGTGGTCCTCAGAGGTGCCTCTCTCGTGTCCTGGCACGTCCCGCCGTGAGCGTCTGGCTGTGAGCGTCTGGGCGCGAGTGCGAGTCCGAATGGACGACGGGTGCGACGACGAAAACAAAAACGACGACAACGACGACGAAGACGACGATGACGACGACGATGACGACGACGATGATGACGACGATGACGACGATGACGACGACGACGACGGCGACGGCGGCGGCTACGATGAGGGACGGCGACGACATCAATAGGATACATAATTACTCACTGCCTGAAGCTCCCCATATGTGCATCTATTAGCATGGACCTTTCCGCCGTGAGTGTTTAAGCGCAAGAGCTTTCGAATAGAAGCGGGCTTGAGTATTGACGGTCTGGGAGTGAATCTAACTGTGAATGACTTGGAGTGTGAATGAGTCTCAGTAGTAGTAGTGCGTCTCTGCGCATGAGCCTGAGGCCTCCTGGGGCCTCTTGAAGCCTCCTGTGGAGCCTCCTGGGGCCTCGCGTGGCCTCTTGGGGCTTCCTATGGTCTCCTTATCACTCCGGGGGCCTCGCGTGGCCTCCTGGGGCCTCCAGGAAACTCCTGGATCCTTATGGGGCCTCCTGGGGAGGATTCGTGCCCCAGGAGAAGCCCAATTCATAGGAACAATCGTAAAACACTTCGGATTGAAGCCACAGGAGAGGGGCAATCGATAGAAACACGCGTAAAACACCAAGGCCTCGTGCCCCAGGGGAGGCCTAATATATAGGAACCGATGTAAAGCACTAAGGAGTGGATACACAGGAGAAGGACACTTTATAGAAACATACTTAAACACAAAGGATTCGCACTCCAGGGGAGGCCCAGTCTAGAGAAACATATGCAAAGCGCCTGGGATTGGAGCCACTCCTGTGGCCTTCTGAGGCCTCCTGCTCATGGGGCCTCGTGGGGCCTCGTGGGGGCTCCTGGGGCCTTCCGGGGCCTCCTGGTGCCTCCGGGCGTTTCCTGTGGCCTCCTGTGACCTCCTGTGGCCTCCTCGGAGCATCCTGGGGCCTCCTGTGGCCTCCTGGTGCCTCCTGGGACCTCATGTGGCCTCCTGGGGCCCGCTGGAGCTTCCTGTGGCATACTGAGGATCCACGCCCACGAGTCTGGCCAGCGAAACAAGCAAACCGTTCGAGACATCCTCGCAATCTGGGTCACCAGGGGTGCGATAACCAGCGCCTCGCTCGAGACATCCGCCAAATCCGCTTCGATAGCAAAGGATGTCGCGGGCACAAACAGGCAAACCACTCGAGACATCCCAACCATTTTGGCGCAAACGGAAGAATGAGATACCCCCTGGCGGCTGCCCCTGGGCGCCTCGCTCGAGACATCCTCAGAATCTGCGCCGCCATCATCATCATCATCATCATCATCATCATCATCATCATCATCATCATCATCATCATCATCATCATCATCACCATCATCACCATTACCATCATCACCAGCATCATCATCATCGTCATCGTCATCAGCAGCATCATCATCACTGAGTGATGAGTGTGTCTGAGCGATGAGCGAGTCTAGGCCTGAGTGCTGGATGCATCTAGGCGATGAGTGAGTCTGAGTGAGAAAGAGCGGGTCAGAGCATGAGTGAGTCTGAGTGATGTGCGAGTCTGAGCGATGAGTGAGGTGTGGGTGTGACTGTCCTTCCGGCGCGGTGAAAGTACTAACAAGAACCCCATCTTAGGATATGGGGGATAACAACGAAAACAACAACACACATCATTTTAAGACTGTTCGCTCTTGCTGGCACGCGTGTCTCGCAGTCCGTATACCCAACCCTCGATACCCGCCCACTTCGTCTTCGATTGCACCCCCTTTCGGGGGGAATCCCTGCCTTGTCGGCCACTGACTGAAGTGCGAGGAGTCTCGAGGGAAAGCGCCGTTCCTGAGTTCGGGGGCCTCTCTGGTCAGGGGCTCCCGGAATACCAATGGAGAAATATCGAGCAGGAACCCTTGTCGCCGTGTTCTGGCCTCCACCAACTTGCCTGAATTACGAGAAAGTCCCGAGCGAGAGCGCCGCTCCTGAGTTCGGGGGCCCTCTTGGTCAGGGGCTCCGGAGAAAATCGTGAGGAAGTATCGAGCAGGGGCCCTTGTCGCCGTGGCTGGGCCTCTGCCAACTTGACTGACTTACGAAGAAGTCTC